GCTAAGTCTCTACCTCCCTAATCTACTAACTACTGTTTGGCTCTTTCCTTTGATATTGCTCTTTCTTCTTTCTTCTTTTCATTCTTTTTTAATCTTAAAAGGTAATTCATTTTTTCCACTCAGGTTATTATCAGGTACTTTAGGCCCTTTATAGTGACATTTATAGCTTTTCTACTCTTTCTTTCTCCATTACAACCTATTCTTTATCCATCCTGGCTCACTAATGTTCAAGGTGGTTCTATGGTGGTCTGGGTGCTTCAGGAACAGTGATGTCCCATGCAGATCAGCTGATGACTCCCTTTATGGGGGGATCATGTAAATATACTTGCTATGCAGCTTTCAAAGAAGCAAGACTATTTTAAAATTCTCTAAATTGAGTTCGGTTAGGATTTTTTGATAGCAGTAGCACTGGGCAACAAGCCACTGGGTAAGGTGGTCTCTGAATAGGAACACAGGCCAAGAATTGACCTGCTGGCAGATAGTTACCTTAATTCTGTGGACAAGGGATCTGACTGAGCAAATCTTCAGAGAAGCAGTGGAAATTTTTTTGCATTGTTGCTCCAGAAGCAGAGAGAAGGAAAAGGACAGTGTGTGCCTGGAATAATCTATTCAAACTGTTAGGGATAGATTGTGACACTGGAGCTGTCACACGTCTGCGTGACATAAAGCCGCTGAGAGACTAAAGGTGTTAGAAATCAGGAAAGACAGGCAGCATCTGCATTCAAAGCTCTGAGCTGCACCCAATGGTCTAGACTTGTGTGAAGAAGCACAGGCTGAGAAAATAAAACATAAGAACCCCACACCAGCTCACAGCAAAGGGTCATCTATAAGAATATCTTATTTAGATAGAAGAACAGAGTGTATCCTGAGTACTTTCCTAGCCTTCTGTAATTAAATGGTATTTCATTGTCTCTGGTATTTCCATTTCTCTCTTCTTGTGGTACTGTCTCCCTTCAGACAGTACTTGACTAAAAGGCAATATGCTTTGAGACATAAGAGAGGGGAGGAGAGGAGGAAGTTCTCTTAACATCTACAATGGGTTGTTTCGTGGCTTCTTTTTCTGTCTGTTAAGGGCTTAAACACTCTCCAAATTGGAGTATTCCCAATGTGGGAATGTGGAGTTCCCACACAACTGGTCCAGTACAAATGTCATCTGAGACTGGTCAGAGTTTTTAATATGTCAATCTTACTGTATTGGTCAGTAAGAATATTTTAGTGCATTTCTGTCTGGTGCTGCTCCTGGTCTGAGACTACAAAAGAGAAGAGTTCAAACATGAAAAACTCATCATATAACCTTCAGCCACAGAACATTTATTATTGGGTTTGTTGACCATTTCTGAAACAGGAGTATATTGAATTAATGGGACATGCAACATGAAACAATGTGTTACCTGTATTAAACAGGTCAGATAAAGAGTTTACTTCTCTGTATGTAGCTAGTTTAACAGGATGCTGTTGTTTTCAGTCAATGTTTCCATTTCAGGGGTTTAGATGAAAATTATTGTAGGAATCCAGATGGTGAGAAGAGGCCCTGGTGCTACACCACCAACAACACAACATGATGGCAGTATTGTAGCATTCCTCATTGCCCACAGACTGCATCACAAAGCACTGGTGAGAGGGGTGGAATAACCTGTGCTGCAGAAAGAGAAAAAAAAGCCCCAAAATACAGTGGGAGGTGTTCATTTGTGCTTAAAAATCTCTACTAAAAATCTGCTCCATGGTCTTATTTGTTTGTTGAACTTGTGGGCATCCTACAAAGCTTACTCAGTCATGAGTAGAAAATAGGACCTTTTTGTCACAGGGAAAATGACATTAAAGGTATTAAATCGACTGATTGATCAATTACAGAATCCTAGTTTTCCCTTTACATGTAAGAAAATGCAAGAAAATATTTAAAAAAAACACAACCTAAAATTTCTGGTGAAAAAATGTCTGTTTCAATGCATTGGAGGGAAAAGAGGGTGAAAATGAAAATGAAAGGAGGAAAAAGCAGCAAAAAAAAAAATCCATTTTTTTAAGATCCTGAACATTAATCTCCTACATCTAACTATGAAAAATTAAATTTGAAGAAATTTTAGATTCTATCTGTGTACCTTTTGATTCCATAATCCAAGCAAATTTGTTGTGCAAAAGCGAAATTAAAATGCAAGTGCTCCTGTCAAGTACCATCTGGTGTTTTTATTTTATTTTATTTTATTTTATTTTATTTTATTTTATTTTATTTTATTTTATTTTATTTTATTTTTATTCTCAAACATTCTCAAAACTGCTTACTATTATGTCTGATTTTACTAACTCATTTCTACATTTCTCCTGAAGTTTTTTTTTTATTAATTTAAATGTAAGCATGTTTACAAAATTAACGGACTGATTTCTGCTGTTCCTTGTAGATGAAGATATATCAAGGCAGTCCACAAGTCCAGAAGAGTGCTATTGTGAGAGAGGCCTAGATTACCATGGAACAGCTTCTTTTACTATCACAGGAAAGAAATGCCAGACTTGGAGTTCAATGCTGCCACATCGTTACAATAGAACAACAAGCAATTTCCCAAAAGTGTATGTTTATTTTAAATTTCTGTGTTGTGTTAGCCATTTTTTTCTCACTTTACACACAGGTGCCCGACAGTAGTTAAAAGTAGAAAGGAATACCCTTGTTAAAAAAAATGACACTTCTCATTATTATTTTTCTGAGCCAGAAACTTTCTTATTTGCCCAAGCTTTAAAAATGACCTTTTGGTCTTTTTTTTTTTAATTTCCTGCAACATTAAAAATGTGGACTAATTATAAATAAAAATCATCCTTTTAAACCGCCCTTAAAGAACTTAAGAGTTGCCATTGCTCTTTAAGAACATATGCAAAATAGTCATATGGCAAAATATCTGCCTGCTTTCCAAAGCTATCTCCTTAATATTTGTGAGAGGTGTGATAGCCCTTAAAGCTGCTTCACTGGGTAACAAATGGAAGAATTCAACAGCCTAGATATTTACCAATGTCCTGGACCATTTTTAAATGGGAAAACCATCACATTGGCTAACATGCCCACTCTTGGTTGTATGCTGGAATGGAAATGGTGAGACTAATAAAAATATCTCCTTTCCAAGCTCTGTAATGCTAATTCCTGTCCTTTTCTGTTTATCCACAATATATCAGTTACAATAATCATCCTGTTGGAGTCCTCTCATCTGTCATTTGCTTCACAAATCCTTTCAGGGTATCTTTACTGCTTCTCACATAGATCTCTATTCACACTGTCTACAGCTCATCTCTTCTTTCTATCCAATACCAAATCACACTGTTCTGATCAACTCAATTATTATTTTTTGTGAAATATTTTTGTTTGTGAAATTCTTGGATATGTTGTCACTTTTCTGGCTCAAGATGGAGCAATTATCTGAACTCTAAAATTCTTTGGGAGAGCAAGACCATTTCCCTTATTATCTCTTCCAACATTCACTTCCCAATGCTCGTGTGAGGAAATGCGCAATGAATTCAGTAGAAAGATTCCTGTGCAAAATGGGAAAACTGCTCAAATTCACATGCATATTTGTTCACTGCTTCTTAAAGTTAGAAGGGACATTTATGTTGTTTCCTCAATTTCTGACACTGGGGAAAGTATTCTTTTTGATCTTTATAGTAAACTTCCAGTCCTAAATGATTTAGATCAGTTTAACTGCATATTAAAATTATGGTATATATTCTGAATTTGCATATATGTTCTAATGATTGTTAATAAAGATGAATACTGCATCATCAGGCATTATGCAGGTAGCCAGAATATTTCTATAACCTGCAGTTTACACTCCTTAGACATTATTAGGTTTTATCAAAAAGGAAGTAGACAGCTATGCTGTTGTATAACATACACCTTTCAATTTACACCATATCAATAATTACTTGTTTCTTTTTCCTTGTTAGTGATCTGAGCTCTGTGACAAAGCAACAAATTTGTATCATTTTTGTATTTTGCACACCTCACCCATTTTGTCAAATGTTCTCATGCATTTTTGGAAGCCCATACATGAAACAGAGTGCATTGTATTTGTATTTCCAGGGATCTGAGAGAGAATTATTGCCGAAAACAAGGTAATGATATAGCCCCCTTGTGTCACACTACTGTTCCTACTGTGAGATGGGAATACTGTAGTCTGCAAAAGTGTCACTATGGAGAACCGCTTGTTTCACTTGAACCACCTTTTTCATCATTAGAACCAGACACTGAGATGACTGTTTTGAACATAACAGGTAGTTGCTTAACTACAACTTTGACTCCTCGAAAATTAGTAAAAGGTAGAACTAAGAGGTACCTACTGAAATGAATCTAAATGACAGTAGAGTATAGTACCTTTCCTCTAGTTTACAAACAATTTCTTAGAATTAAGTGGCCAGGATTCTATAGTGATATTTGTGTCAGCAGAATTCCCCATTGTATCTATCATATTGTATATTATTTTCATCCTAAGAGACACAGAAGAAATCAAATGGGAGGTTTCCGAGACTGTATCAATAGAGTATTGAGAGAACTATTAATCATGACAGCGCATATAGGTGAAATGCTCATACTTACCTTGAAGATCTTGTTTTCAGTCCACTTAAATAAAGAGGCTGCCTTAGTATTTGGAGATACCTGGTGTGCAGAAGACTTTGTGTCTGTATACGAAGTGAATGCAATGGACCTTCTCCCAGATCTCTCAGGTCTGTTCATATGTGCAGAATACAGGTGATGTGAGGTGTAGGTTGGGCACCAGGAGATGTATCTCAGAAACTTACTTTTGGACTAGAAGCCTGGGTTGCACCATATCTTTACATTGTCTTATATAGGTTCAATTCTCTGCTCAAGTGCAGCCAACCTTTTCCACTTGGCTGTAGCAAATTATTAGTATCTCTACTGAGGATTTAGTTTGCCTTATATTTTGCTTGTTTTTCTAATTAAAAACCTTGCTGTTATGCTTTACATATAGTAAAACATTGTAATGGGCAGTTGTGTTTTGACGAAAAGAGATAGAACAAGACTAAATATTTACTCTTGCGAAGTGCTTGTGAGTACTCTGTGTAACACCTTATAGCAGCAATCATTAGACTTATAACACAGCTGCTAATGGGCACATACCTTGACCTCATCTTGAAGTAGTGAGAATCATCTCAATCTAAATTTTGCTTTTAAAAATGATTTCTAATTCTTGAGACTGAAGAGAAAAGCATGAAAATATGACTCACTTGCAAGAGCAGAGGTTGTTAATGCAATATTTGCATCTAATAGTGCCTCATTCACTCTGACATGGACACTGATTGTCAGAGAAACAAGTTCCAGGTCCTTGGAACAAACTTAGAGTTTTGTTTCATCAATTCTTGTTGGTGTGAATAGTCACCACTTCTGCGACAAGGTGAGTCCTCTCCTTTGCTGCAGTAGTGTATTTTTCTCTCTGACTCACTAAAAATGATGAACATCATCTTTGGATATTACCTATCAAATGACAGGTTATTCTGTGCTCCTGAGAACCACCAGGCCTGTCCTCCAGGCAGTGCCCATAACATGCCTATTAGGAGAAGCAAGTTGGAGAACTGTTTTTCAGTAGTGACAGAGGCAGAGACAGAAGTCACAGAGGCTTAAAATTTACACCAGCCTTCTTTAGGTACCTTTTTATTATGATACTCAGTACCACAAACATATTGAATTTAAAACTCCATTCTAGTTCTTCAGCAATCGTCCCTTTTTAACATGCCTCCATTGCAAGCAGTGACTTCATATGCTCTGGTGTTTCATATTCTACCTGCTGTCTGACTGGTACTGTGCTATAAACCATTTCTTCTATAGCCACACGTCTTTGGACCTTGCTGAAGCCTTTGTCCTTGTGAAGCAAAGCCATGAGCTTCATCAAATTCCATTTTTTCTTTGAGGAATTTCTCCGGAGTTACTGTATCCTGAAGTAAAGCTGCTGATTAGGCATACCTTTCTTCCTTCCTTCTTGAAATTATGAAGTTCACAGGAGCAAAACCCTCATTAAAAGAGAAAATAAAAGAAAGGAGGAAGGTAGAATTCTCTGAAAAAGGGCAGTGTTGTTTGTTAACAAACCATCCTTTTGAGCACTAAAATAGAAACAAAGGGCTTTCAAACAAAGTATTTCTATCCTGAAATTGAGTCTTTGTGTTCTTTTTTTTTTTTTTTAATTATTACAGTATTGCAGGAATCCTGATGAAGATATTAACGGACCGTGGTGCTACACAACAGACCCTCAGAAAATCTGGGAATATTGTGAAGTTCCCAAGTGTGGTAATTATTATTTCAGAATAATAGATTCATATAAATATTGATAAGAAAGTGGGCTCTGAATTGGCATTAACACGAGGCCATCTGTGGCTTTGCTTCATCGGACCCTGAAAACATCCAAGCATGGAGATTCCACATCGTTCCTGTAACACTGGTTGCTGCAACACTGTCACTATATTTTTTCCAACTATCCAAATTGAACTTTCCAAGCCAGTATGTGACCATTGCCCTTTGTTATGTTGTGTGGCACTACCAAGAAGACTTTGTCCCTGTGTTTGTGTAGCTCCTCCTCAGTAGCTGTAGTCTGCTGTAAGACCTCACCTTACCCTCCTCTTTGCCAGACCAAACGGAGCTCTCTCAACCTCTTCTCATGGACCATATGCTCTAGTCCCTGACCTTCTTGGTAGGCTTGGCTGGATTCTCCTTAGGTTCCCTCCTGAACAGGTGACTCAAAAGCAAACACAATATTTCAGATGCAGCCAAAAACACTCTCTTGCCTCCTATCCATTCTGCACTTTCTGTAACCCACAGCCAATTTTCAGATCCTCCTCAATCAGTGGCTTCCCAGTAAATGGGCTTCAGGCTTCTTCCACCCCAGTGCAAAACTAGGGATCTGTATCAGCCACTTGCCCTGCTTTAAATCACTCTTCAGTTTGATGATGCCATTGTTCAGGCCAGTAAGTAAGATAGTGACAAAATGGTTCCAGCTTTGATCCCTTGGGGGACTCTGCTCATTACTGGTCAGGCAGAAAATGAACCACTGATTGCTGTGCTTTGAACCCTATAGTCTGCTTATCCAGCACACTACTTCTCAGACTCAACCTTTACTCTTCCTTTTCACAGTCTTTTATGAAAATTGTGAAAGGTAGCTTCATTTTTCAACCCAAACTCAAAAGCAATCTAATCATGGCAGCTATAGATTTGAATTATGCCCACATGCAAGTGAAAAATATATCTGTCCATAATAAATGTCTAGCTGATTATGCTAATGTCAAGGACCCAGTAAAGAGTTGTTATCAGTCTGTAAGAATCAATACAATATTCTTTCTCTATCCATCTGCTTTGTTCTCATAGTAAGTGTGCACTGCCATGTAATTATAATAGCCCTAACCAAACCCACAAACTCAACAAGATGAAGTGTGAAATGGGATTGCAAATGTTACCTTTGCTGCTGCTATTTGAAGGAGCTACTGAATTGTTACAGATGCTGTTACTTCATGATCATTGCTGTCCAGATAGTACCTATTTAATTCAAAGTATGTTGTGGGATATTGCTATGTGGAGAGTGACATCTTAGCCACCAACTTTCCTAGTGGGACAAAACAGCAAAAATTAGAGAAGGTGTTATGTTATGATGAATATCCTTCTGGAGAGCACCTTTGACCTGGCATTAAGAGTATCTTAGAGGATGGGGAGAAGCATTTTGAGAGTTTATCAAGAAACACATGTGTGTTGAAAGAGTGATGGGTAATTGAATGATGGTGGTTTCAAATCTTTTTATTCCAGGACCAACATGCACCTTTGTGGTGGTACTCTGATAAATCCACAATGGATTCTTACAGCAGCTCACTGTTTGGAAAGGTGGGTGTCTTCCACGGCAAGCTTTATGTTTATTTGAGAAGAATTTTATGAATTCCAAGGAAATAACACTAAGATCCCACCAAGATGCAGATCAAAGTTTACCACAAGCAGTTTTAGTTGTAGGGAGAAGACAAGATGAAATCTCTACCAGGACAGTGTCTTACAAACCAAACGTTAGACTTCATCTGTGTCATGTTGGCAATGCCCGACTAAAGCAGTCGTCCTTTATATCTCTAGGCAGGCTCTGTCCCCTCTGCTCTAGGGCCAGCCTCACTCATTTAACTGGACATTTTGGACAGAATGGAGGAATTTTCATAGCATCAGGCATCAGTCTCTGAGAAGCAACTCAGTCTGGTGCCTGCCACTGCCTGTTTGATCCATGGAACAATGAAGCAAGCAATGAAGTCTGCTGGACCAGTGCCCTGTGCTGAGATCCAGGCCAAGCATACAATCTGTGCTGGTGTAGCCTGTTTTTCTGTTTTCTTCAGTGTTAATCTTACAAGAGCAAGGCATAAGTTAATGCTGTTAGTGCTTTTACCCTTTGTTCTCTTGAACTGTGAGGAGCAGATGTAGAACTGATCATGGTTGTTCCCTTTAACTGGGCTTGGGAACACTGCAGATAGATAGACAAAAGCTTTTGTAGTTTAGATTCTACCCACTAAGCAAGAAAGCACCATGTAGTTTACAAACACATGGGGTGAACATTAAAAAATGCAGGCATTTATTTTGTTGAGAGGAACAGGCTCTTCTGTCTTGTCAGCATACTTTTGCAAGGAAATGTTCACATTTATGAGGGATGGAGTCCTGGGATAGGATTGTGCATAATTATGTGCATAATGATAATCATCTCATAGTGTAAAACTATTTCTTACAGGTCATCAATACCTTATCCCTATTGGGTCTTCCTTGGGCTACATACAGCAAAGGCTGTAGAACCGTCTGTGCAAATCCGAGAGGTTAAGGGTATGTTCCAGGGACCACCTGGGGCAGACATTGCCTTGCTGAAGTTGAGCAGGTACCATTTCAATTCCAGCATTCCTTCTTAAGTCCTTTCTTCTGACTATACACTTCTATGTATACAAATAAACACAAATAAACTATACAAATAAACTTCTCACAAATAAACTTATATGGATATAGATTTGAAAAGTGACTGCTGATGCTGGTACATGAAAAGAATATTTCATCTCAGAGCCCGTGAGTTTTGATTTAGCAAGATATGGAGCATAGACAGTTGCCACTGATATAAATACGTGGTAAGAGTTCAGCTTGGATCTTAATTTACTTCCTACTACTGCCTGAAACCATTTCACATGAAATCCATGAAAATACTGAATGTGAAAACAAACGTTTTGTTTTTCTCCCACCAATCTTGCTGTAGGGCATAGAGTGAAAGTGGCTCAAAGATAAACAAACTTATGGCTTATATCTTTGCGAATCTTCCTTTTCAGTCCTGCGATGATTGCTGACCAGGTAATACCTGTGTGTTTACCTGCAGAAAATCTGATGATGGGAAGTAGAACAGAATGCTTTGCTACTGGCTGGGGACAAGCAAAATGTGAGTCATAGTCAATGCGTCTGGGAGTTTAATAGTCTTGGCAGGATTTATACAGTTGGTCTCCGGTTTTTTTACACACATTTTATGGGGAAAAAAATGTGTGCACTTAAACTTTTACATAAATCAAATATTATTGGTCAATGTTAGTCATTCCATTCTCCCAAGCAGAACAGTCCTCTTTCCAGAGTAGTCTTCTCCTTTTAGCTTACTATTCCATAGATTCCGTATCACTTTTATACACTATCTGGCCACAAATAAGAAACCCCATCATACAGTTTGCTGTATACCTGCAGCATTCATCAAAACAACAGTGAGTGGCACTAACTGGCAAAGATGGGGTGAAAATGAAGATAAGATTCTGTCACAAAGAGTATATTGTCTCAAAAAGAGTATATTGTCTCAAAGCCTTTATGTGCTAAGGCATGGAATCCACACAGCTCCCACTGATACAAAAATAGGATGGGAAGACAGGTTGGGGGACAGATAAATTATCTGCTAATATTAAACTCATCAGTATTGAGATTTTGATAACAGTCTTTATTTTTGTAATTTATATTTGTTGTTGTTGTTTATTTCCAGAAGGTGCTGGTGGAGATTATGTCCTA